ATTCAGACACAAGGTAGAGAACGAGATAAAGCAAAGTGTGCTACTCTGTACTACATCATATATTTCCATCATCATTCAATCAGAAGACTTCGCCCTGTGTGTTTCCGTTGTATCAGTTCACCAATCATTTCATATTATTTTCTTGACTAAGTTGCATTGTTTCTGTGCCTCCAGTGTTCAACGCGGTGTACAACAGTGATGATAATGTGTTTGTGGGAGCTCCTACTGGCAGTGGAAAGACCATCTGTGCTGAGTTTGCGATTCTGAGGATGCTGCTGCACAACGCAGAAGGTCGCTGTGTCTACATCACCCCGATGGAAGCACTGGCTGAACAGGTACAAAGCCATTTAGAAGTTGGAAGCGTGATTATATCAACACTTTTCCCGTCCTACATAATTCATATTTATGTTCATCTTTTAGGTGTTTATCGATTGGCACCAGAAGTTCCAGGACATCCTGAACAAAAAGGTGGTGCTGCTGACGGGAGAAACGAGCACAGATCTGAAGCTCTTGGGGAAAGGTGACATCATTGTCAGTACCCCCGACAAATGGGACATCCTGTCTCGTCGCTGGAAACAAAGGAAGAACGTCCAAAACGTCAGCCTTTTCGTCGTGGATGAAACACACCTGATCGGAGGAGAAAATGGAGTAAGTGCTGCTGCATTTCAGTGATTTTATGTCATATACATTAGGTGTGTACTGCAATAGGAATATTTGTTTCTTAATTAACAGTAAGGTTAAATGACTTCAGTAGGTTAAGTGCCATTAATGGTTTCTGGATAATCATGTCCTTTGTTTCTTTTCATTAGCCCGTGTTAGAGGTCATCTGCTCCAGGATGAGGTACATCTCCTCTCAGATTGAGCGTCCCATCCGCATCGTCGCCCTCAGCTCCTCCTTGTCCAACGCCAAAGACGTGGCCCACTGGCTGGGCTGCAGCACCACAGCCACGTTCAACTTCCACCCCAACGTCAGGCCTGTGCCTCTGGAGCTGCACATCCAGGTCTGTGAACAGTGTGCTAGTCAACAATTTAAAAAAACATAAAACAACAACAAACATAGAGACATAAATTCCTATCCAGCTTGTGATTTGCTGTTAACTCTTCTGGTCTGTTTAGGGCTTCAATGTGAGTCACACTCAGACTCGCCTGCTGTCCATGGCTAAGCCGGTATATCACGCCATCATGAAGCACTCTCCCTCCAAGCCGGCCGTGGTGTTCGTCCCGTCCCGCAGACAGACTCGCCTCACAGCCATCGACATCCTCACTTTCTGTGCTGCCGATGTGGTTCCTCAGAGGTCAGTCACTACAGTGATATCACGGGCTGTGGGTGAGGAATGGGTTGTGATAGCACTGGTGTTGCCATTACATATTGAGGCTGTGGCCGCAGAATAACAGTTTGTCTCTCTGTAGGTTCTTGCACTGCACTGAGAAAGACCTCGTTCCATTCCTGGACAAAATAAATGACCCAACTCTGAAAGAGACCGTGGCCAACGGTGTGGGCTACCTGCACGAGGGCCTCTCTGCGACCGAGCGCAAAATAGTGGAGCAGCTCTTCAACTCAGGTATGACTCACTCCTGCTCTGCGCTTCCAGCTTGGTCTATGAAAGTTTTGGGTTTATAATTCTTTTCTTCTCCTTTTACAGGCGCTGTTCAGGTGGTGGTGTCCTCTCGTTCACTCTGCTGGGGCATCAACATCTCTGCACACCTCGTCATTGTCATGGACACCCAGTACTACAACGGCAAAATCCACGCGTAAGTTCTCCCACTAGTTTGCTGTTCTCATTATACTGTAACTAATCAGATTGTGTCGGTGACATTCTCCTCCTGTTTTCGCTCTTTCTCTCAGATATGTGGACTATCCCATATATGACGTCCTCCAGATGGTGGGCAAGGCGAACAGACCCATGCTGGATGACGAGGGACGCTGTGTCATCATGTGCCAGGGCTCCAAGAAGGTAGAAAGACCTCTGTTGTTTCTGTCTTGTTCCCTTTTGAAGACAGTGACTTGTGCTAAAGCAATAACTGTGTGACAGTAAGAACAAACCAGTTTCTTTTTCTTTTCTTGATAGGACTTCTTCAAGAAGTTCCTGTACGAGCCGCTGCCGGTGGAGTCTCACTTGGACCACTGCCTCCACGACCACTTCAATGCTGAGATTGTCACCAAGACTGTGGAGAACAAGCAGGACGCCGTGGACTACCTGACGTGGACATTCCTCTACCGCCGTATGACCCAGAACCCCAACTACTACAACCTGCAGGGTGAGTCTGAAAGAACAGTTTTAAAGGAGAGGATACATATGGTTTTACTTGTACCCCATCAGATGTTTGGAACAACCTATAAATATCCAGTTTTGTGTTTACTCTGGCAGGCATGTCCCATCGTCACCTGTCAGACCACCTGTCTGAGCTGGTGGAGCACACGTTACATGACCTGGAGCAGTCCAAGTGCATCAGCATAGAGGACGAGATGGATGTAGCACCGCTCAATTTGGGCATGATCGCTGCCTACTACTACATCAACTACACCACCATCGGTTTGTGCCAGAACAACTGTCCTATCGCACCAAAAATAATAAAAAGTCAAGGATACCTTTATGGAATGAAAAATGGAATGAACTCACACATAACTGACTTGGTGTCTGTCTGTGTTTTGCAGAGTTGTTCAGCATGTCCCTGAATGCCAAGACAAAGATCCGTGGGTTGATTGAGATCATCTCCAATGCTGCCGAGTACAAGAACATTCCCATTAGACATCACGAGGATGCACTTCTCCGACAGGTAAAGAAACAGCACTGACAGAACTCAAACATGACTGATCTCATAACATAATAACGTTAACACTTTCCTACAAAGTTGGTACGTTGAAACTAGAACTGTAGATTGATTAAAACATTCGACCTTTAAATGAAACTTTCCACCTAAAACATCCTTCTCCATTCTTTAGCTAGGATGTTTGGGTTTTGCTTTAAACATTTTAAATGAATCGCACTAGTTGAAACTGATTGTGTTGGAACGACCTATTTTTGTATTTCAGTTGGCACAGAAGGTGCCTCACAAGCTGAACAACCCCAAGTTCAACGATCCCCACGTGAAGACCAACCTGCTGCTGCAAGCCCACCTCTCCAGGATGCAGCTGAGTGCTGAGCTGCAGTCGGACACAGAGGAGATCCTGAGCAAGGTACAGATTTATGGTGATTTTGGAGTGTGAATAAACTCAAATTTCTCGATTCCTTGCGTATATTTAACCCTCGTGTTGTGTGTTTGTAGGCGGTTCGTCTGATCCAGGCCTGCGTTGACGTGCTGTCCAGTAACGGCTGGCTGAGTCCCGCACTTGCAGCTATGGAGCTGGCTCAGATGGTCACCCAGGCCATGTGGTCCAAGGACTCGTACCTTAAACAGCTGCCCTTCTTCACCGGAGAGCACATCAAGCGCTGCACAGATAAGGTACATCAGTGTTTGCTCTTTCTACAAAATGTGCTTCATAAAATCTAGATCTTGTGTCAACATGTTGTTGTTGTACACAACCCGTTGTATAAATCGCTGCTCTTTTCACCAGGGCGTGGAGAGTATCTTTGACATCATGGAGATGGAGGATGAAGACAGAACTGCGTTGCTGCAGCTCTCAGACAACCAGATGGCCGATGTGGCTCGCTTCTGTAACCGCTACCCCAACATCGAGCTGTCCTACGAAGTGGCAGAAAAGGAGAACATCAAGAGGTATGTATGGGTGCTGTCAGCAGACTGAGTGACTACATACAGTCCAGGGCTGTACCCGATTGGTTGAATTAAATTGGATTTAGCAGTTCAATATAAAGACATTCCTTTTTTGCCACACTAAACTCCTGTGTCAGCAGTTCCTGCAGCAGAAACATGACGCTACATTATTGTCACGTTTTAGCCTAAATTTCTTCATCATGTGAAAAGATTTCCACAGTCAGAAAGTAAAAGCGTGCATACTGCTCATAGTTCAGTTATAAAATCTCAGTGTCTCTTCTGCCGGGCTGCTGACAGCGCTGTCAATCACTTATGTCAATTAGAAGTTTTACTACCGTCTGGTTCAAAAGTTTTACTTTACTGAGTCAGCACCGGAGCAGAGAGCATCCACTGCCCCGCCGCCCTCTGTTAACTGTCACTCTTCTCTGCTTTCATCGCAGGGAGTTTTGTGGTTTGTGGCCATTATGAACCTCTGTAAAGTTTACAACCCGCCATGCAACAAAAAGTTCAACTGATTTTTGATGAATCAAATCAGCGTCTTTTAGGGGGCAGCACTAATTCATAATGTTGCAAAGGAAGAAATACCGAAGTTTAACAGCTGCTTGCCGAGGACAATGGTGTCTATTTTCATCATTTTCCTCCCACACTGTTATTTTTGTCACATGTTGATGTATATTCCCATGTTTCCTCACAGTGGCAGTCCAGTTCTGGTTCAGGTTCAGCTGGAGAGAGAGGAGGAGGTGACCGGGCCTGTCATCGCACCTCTCTTCCCTCAGGTAAATGCACTGTGTTCTTGCATTTCCAAGAGTTTCTATGATCATTTTTTCCCCATTTACACATAATGACCGTTCTGTAACTGTTTTCCATTGTTGCAGAAACGTGAGGAGGGCTGGTGGGTGGTGATCGGAGACCCCAAGAGTAACAGCCTTATCTCTATCAAGAGGCTGACTCTCCAGCAGAAAGCAAAGGTCAGTGAGAGCCGCCCACTGCAATGATATCTCACCACCAAAAATAAACACTTTAAACCAACAGAGAATCCTCACGTTGTGTATCGCTCATCTTCCCCCTCTGCAGGTCAAGCTGGACTTTGTTGCACCAGCGATGGGCGTTCATAACTACACCCTGTACTTCATGAGTGACGCATACATGGGTTGCGACCAGGAGTACAAGTTCAGTGCGGATGTGAAGGAGGCTGACAGCGATGGAGACAGTGACTCAGACTAATCAGTAACTTGCAGTCTTCTGCCTTTTGTTTTATATTGAGAGGGATCGGTGGGTGTTTTTTGTTTTTTTTACTGTAGATATTCAGCCTGATTCATGTCCCTTTACTTTGTCATTATCACCTCTACTCTTGTGAAAACGTCATTTTATTCAATACATTTGTGTCAGTTTAAATCACCTGAATGATGTACACCAGTCCAGAATTATAGTGTACAGGATCAGTTTAGTTAATATAATCAGACATGTATTACAGGTACATGGCGAACTGCGCTCACTGTTGTAATGAAGCCCCAATCTGGGTTCTGAGTGTATTAAGTACATAAAACTTTGTGCTTACTGATCTGTCAGTTCTCAGGTCTGACCGGAATTTTGATGAAGATTTATAAAAATAAAAAAAAAATACAAATGTATCCAGATTGGGTCTTTAAATACTTAAAACTTTTTGTTGTGAAATCGAATGATTGGACTGGTGGAGATGTTTTTAGTATGATGTGCTGTCTGGAATATTTTTTGCAATAAAGAGAAGCCACATAATTGTTTTTTAGATTCTTTATTTATATAAACATTAATTGTCAATAAAATCTTAATTGAGCTGTTATACAGAAATATGTAGACTCACAGAAAGCACAAGATGCACTGAAGCGTTATTGTCAGTTCAGAATTGTAACATGATGTGTTGGTACACTGTTATTAAGCTGAATCCTTGCGGAGCTATGAGAAGCTGTAAGAGTTGAATGAAGAATGTGTGTGGTGACCACAGTTCCCAGTGGAACTCAGTGAGGGGCCAGTTGAGCGCTCAGTCTTCCTCGTGGAACCTCCAGATGGAGATGTCTCCTTCATCGCTGCAGGAGGCCAGGAGTCCCGCCTCCTTTGGGTTCCAGGCGACGCAGTTGACATCCTGGCTGTGAGCTTTGGTCACCTGAGCAGCCAGCGAGAACACCGGCTGGTCTGGATCGGACGCCTCATCCTCCTTAAACACTCGCACTGCGTCGTCACCGCAGGCGGTAGCCAGGGCGCCGGTCAGCCGACACCTGAACGACAGATAAACATTCTCAGTTTGAGCTTATAAGAGGACAGGTGCATGCATTTGGTGACATCTTGCAGCAGATAAGCTCATTGGTGAGGTTAAAAATTAGGGTGACCTCGTACATAAATGGTGAGAGGTTTTACTCTAATCCACCCAACTGCAACACATTAAGTATAAAACTCAAATTATCTTTATTGTGGTGAAAACTGGGACATTTTAGACTTTTCTGGTCACAAGATGGTGGACATGTTTTTACCTACATTATGTCAATTTACCACCACCAATAATAAAGGAAGGGTGAGAATGTTTACAATTAAATGAGCCATTTTCCAACCAGATTATGCCAAAATATGTAGAGGATAACGCCCGACGAGGTGTTCGTTATCAGAATTAATGGACAACGTGGAGCTTACAGACAGCTGACACTGATGAGATAACCTTAATGGACGAGCAGACTGATCCACAGACCAAACCCAACAGAGTATACAGACAATATATAACGATGAGTCTTACCAGGCGACGTCGTACACTGTTCGTCCGTGGTACCCGGACAGAGTGCACACACACTTCCACGACAAGTCTCCTGTTTAACAAGCAGAGCAGATAAAAAAAGGTTGAGATAAAATAACCCACCAATATCTGTTCGCTCATCCCCACAATTCTCATTTAATCATCAGGAATAATAACACTGACAGAAATATCTGCAGCAGCAATAACCTGAGACCTGTCTGATATTTTTAGATTATTAAAATCACACCATGTTGTATAAATCAATTCCAATATGTGGCTGATATTAAACGAGGTCTCCAATGAAAGCAGTCTCTCTACTTGGTAGACTTAAAGCTTTAACTGTGAGCTTTACCTCCTTCACCTCTCTTCAGCAATAATTAATGGAGTTGTGGTGAAATGTTGAAACAACCAATGAAGTTATGATGGTAAAACGAGTTTTCATTGTCTTAGTAATTGTACTTTGTGCAATGACAATAAAGTTCAATCTAATCTAATCTAAAATGACCGTTTTCGTCTATGGAGTCTGGTGGCGAGTGATACTGTGGCTGTTTCTGGTTAAACAAAGTTCTGTCTCATTAGGGATCTTCTCCATAATGTTGTCAGACACTTTGAGTGGACATGGCTTATGTTGTCGACCACACCAGTGCTATTGATTATTGGAAAGACTGTGACAAGACTAACAAAGACGTTAAGTAGAAAGAAAGAAGTATTATTTTGTTTCCATCCAGTTTCAAGTGTGTTTTATGATAATCTGCAAGGTAAAATTACTGGTTTTCTTAATGAGTCTGGTCTGCCGTAGCGTCCAATTGCTTTGGTCTCAGATGCTGGTGCTGTATGTGACATCCAGTAGCGGTGAATATCGTATAAATAACATTCATAATGACACAAAATGATATCTAGTTCTGTCACTGATTGGATATTATGTTTTGTTAAAGACTTTTCTGATTAGTGACTTTATTTATCACAAGAATAATCCTGCCTACCACTAACAACTCACCCTGTCCACTTTCATTTGGATACTCCTTCCAGATCTTCACGGTGCGGTCGTCGCTGCAGGAGGCCAGCCTCTGTCCACTTCCCTCAAAAGACAAACTCCAGACTGTGGACGTGTGTCCTTGCAAGGTGGCCCGGCACTCCCAGTCGTCGTCCTCTTCCTTGTAAATACAAACGTTGTTGTCGTAGCTCGCTGAAGCCAGGAGCTGTACGAACACATGGAGAGTAACGTAGTAAGATAACGGTGCCACAAAGCGAGAAATGACTGAGCGGAGCAGAGTGGGACCTACCTCCTGGGTCGGGTGCCACACAACATGCTTGACATCTTGCGTGTGGGAGTTTATGACGGTCACACACTCGTACTCGTCTTCTTCGTCCACTGTGGAACACAAAAGGAGAGAGACACACATCAGTCGGTTTGTTGATTTCCCTGCCGTGCATCTGAGGCGGTGACACGCTGTACGTTTAACACAAACCTTCCCAGACCCAGACGCTCTTGTCTCGGCTACACGTTGCCAGCAGGTTCCCTGAAGGGGCCCACGCCACGCATTTGACCTCGTTTTCATGTCCTTCCAGCACGGTCAAACTCTAGAGGACAAGGAAGGAACTGTGGGTAAAATCCACATACGGCGCAGCATATTTTGAAGTGAAGATTAAAAAAACAAAACAAATCTAACCTCAAAATCCTCGTTGTTCTTTTTCCAGATGCACGTGGTTGCGTCGAAGCTGGCAGAGGCCAGATATTTCCCGCAGGGAGACCACGCCACTTTCCTCACGGTGCGCTGGTGTCCGTCCTGAAGCACACTCTTACATATCCAAGAGTCACCTAAAGGAGGCCAACAGAGATATGGATGTACCGTTTATACTGGAGCTGCAACGAACAGTCGATTAATCGATTACTAACTATTTGGATAATCTTGAGTACTTTTTTTAAAAGAAAAATGTAAAATTTCTCTGGTTTCAGCTTCTCAAGTGTGATTTATTTCTGGTTTCTTTCCTTCTCTGTGACAGTAAACTGAATATCTTTGAGTTGTGGGCTTTGGGAAACAGTAATTAATCATTAATGAAAATAATTTTGCAGCTCTGGTTTATACGAGGGTGGCCGTCCCTTTTATTTCTCTTAATAAACATCGAGGGCAATTTTAAATATTAATGTGCTGCTTTATTGTAAAATAGATTTGTGCATCAATGTAATGAGTTGTTTGTTTTTCAGGTATTTAATCAATAAAATCAGCCAAAAACAGACATTCCTGTGTTGTTATTTTATCTAAGAAGTGTTTTCTCTGTTGAATTACCAAAAATTAATGATATTGATATTAAAATGTTGTTATTTTATCAGTTTGTGTCAACTATTTTTATACTGTTTGATCCTTCTTATTGTTTTATATTTATTTGTCTTCTTACTCTATTTTATCCAGTTTGTAGTACAGCCTTTATTAAACACCATTTATTATTCTACCTGTTAAATTCTATTCTATTTGTACTGTATTTGTATTTTTTTAAATGTACATTATCTCGGTAGTTTTTCTCTCATTATGATTCCCAATATTCTGTGAGCACTTTGAACTGAATCTAAACCTATACATTACCTCTATTAAATAAATTTACCTGATTGTTATATAATTTGCTACATATTATACCCACAGCAGCCAATATAACCTGGGGAGTACAAATGAATCAAATAATTTTAACATTTTTTAAAAACCTTTTCCCAAAAACCAAGAAACCAGAAACCTAAGGATGGAGTTTAGATAATAAACCCCTCTAATAACTGTTTTTGGTTGCACTCACAATCACATTAAAAACAACTCCCTATACTAGATATTATACCATAGAAATGTTTAGGTTAAGTTTATATACAATGATTTAAAGCCGGGTTGCACTGCTTTCATTAAGGCAAAAAATTTGATTAAAAAAGACAATAAAAACACCACAACTGAAGCATTAAATAACATTATACTGTTACCTAACACGATAAGAGCCTGTAAAAGAGCAATAAGGGCAAGACATTTATGATATTCATGTTATTTAATCATTAATCTGCCAAGTAAAACCTTCTCGTCCCCATATCCTCACGGCCTTGTCACCGCGCATGAGGCCGCAGAGTCCCGCGGGACGGGCTCCAGCCTCCGAACCAGCATACGGAGAGTCCCGGGGTTGTGCGCTCAGGTCTCTGGACCAGGGTCCAAAGCCTCCTTCATGTCCGAGCTTTCGGTGGTTCAAAAACGGGTTTGGCTTTTTCTGGAGCGCGCATGGCTTCCGTCCGTTCTTACGGTTTACTGACTCCCGTGATGGAAATCCGCCGCGCTCGCTGTGACGATCCGCGCAGGACAAACAGTGCGTTGCCTAAACTTACGGCGCGATGTGTCGGGCCTCGAGTTGGAGGTTCGGGAAGAGCAATTAATTAATTGCAGCCGAGAACAAAATTGCAAAAGTTCACACGCACAAAATGTTCGGAAATACCGCCATGGTTTGCCCTTAGGTGTTGCGTTCGCTTTCTTCTTCGATGGGCTTTATTGTTGGAAACTATTACCGGCCACCTTGCCGCGACTTGGAGGGAGCCGCGCGTTTACGTTACAGTTCACTTACAGCCACTGGGTTTCAAAAACCGTTTTCCTCCCTTTTGATAGTTGTTGGATTATTTATATACTATTTGTTTTATTATTTGTTGATTAGTAAGCCTGACTCAGTGACATATTTTATGGCTATTTCATATTATTCTGAGTCATTTATATTTTTGTTTGCTTTTTCGGATAATTATTTCATGTTTTTTTTCTTTTGAAGGTAAATTTTTTAATTTTTTGGTTGTTTTTCGAGTAATTTATTTTTTTTGTCTGTTTTTCGGGAGTAATTTATTTTTTTGTCTGTTTTTGTGAGTAATGTATTTCTGTTATTTTCTGATAATTTATTTTTTGTCTGTTTTTTCTGAGTAAATTTATTTTTGGTTGTTTTTTGAGTAATTTATTTTTGGTCTGTTTTTCTGAGTATTTATTTTCTGTTTTTTCTTGAGTAATTTATTTGTCTGCTTTTCGAGTAATTAATTTCTGGTTTTCTAGGTAATTATTTTTGGGTTTTGTTTTTTCTGAGTAATTTATTTCTGTTTTTCTGATAATTTATTTTTGGTCTGTTTCTGGAGTAATCTATTTCTCTTTTTTCTAGTAATTGTATTTTCTGGTTTGTTTTCTGAGTAATTTATTTTTTGTCTGTTTTCTAGTATTATTTCTGTTTTTCTTATGCTGAATTATTTTTTGGGTTTGTTTCTGAGTAATTATTTCTGTTTTTCTGAGTAATTATATTTTTGTCTGTTTTTCTGAGAAATTTCTGTTTTCTAAGTTAATTATTTTTTGGTTTGTTTTTCTGGGAGTAATTTATTTTGGTCTGTTTTTCGGCGTAATTATTTCTGTTTTCTATGTATTTAATTTTTTTCGGTTTGTTTTTCGAGTAATTATTTTCTGTTTGATTCTGAGTAATTTATTTTTGTCTTTTTTCTGAGTAATTTATATTTCTGTTTTTCTAATTAATTTTTTTTTGGGTTTGTTTTTTCTTAGTAATTATTTTTGGTTTGTTTTTCGTAGTAATTTTTTTTTTCTGTTTTTCGAGTAATTTATTTTTTTGGTCTGTTTTTGTTTAGTAATTATTTCCTAGTTTTTCTGGAGTAATTATTTCTGTTTTCTGGGGAGTAATTTATTTTTTGGGTCTTTTTTAGTAATTTTATTTTTTGTCGTTTCTGAAGTAATTTATTTTTGGGTCTGTTTTTTTGGAGTTAATTATTTTTTTCAGTTTTCTGAGTAATATTTCTGTTTTTTCTAAGTAATTATTTTTTGTTTGTTTTTCTTGAGTAATTTTCTGTTTTTCCTGAGTAATTTATTTTTTGGTTTGTTTTTCGAGTAATTTATTTTTTTTGTCTGTTTTTTCTGGAGTAATATATTTTTTGTCTGTTTTCTGAGTAATTTATTTTTGGTTTGTTTTTCTGGTAATTTTTTTTTTTGTCTTTTTCTTGAGTAATTGTATTTTTGTCTGTTTTTCTGGGAGTTAATTATTCAGTTTTCGGAGTAATTTTTATTTGTATTTTTGGTCTGTTTTTCTGAGCTATTTATTGTTGTCTGTTTTTTCTGGGATAAATTATTTCTTGTTTTTCTACCTGCTAATTTATTTTTGTTTGTTATTTCTGGGAGTAATTATTCTGTTTTTCTGAGTAATTTATTTTCTTGTCTGTTTTTCTGAGTTAATTATTTCTTTTTTTCTGAGTAATTTATTTTTTTGGCTTTGTTTTTTCGAGTAATTTATTTTTTTGTCTGTTTTTCGGTAATTTTTTTTTTGGGTTGTTTTGTGAGTTAATTATTTCTGTTTTTCTGGAGTAATTATTCTGTTTTTCTGGGAGTAATTTATTTTTTTGTCTGTTTTTCTTGGAGTAATTTATTTTTTTGTCTGTTTTTCTGGAGAATTTATTTTTGGTCTGTTTTTTGAGTAATTATTTCTGTTTTCCGAGTAATTTTTTTTGTCTGTTTTTCTGAGGTAATTATTTCTGTTTTTCTGAGTATTTATTTCTTTTTTCTGAGTAATTATTTTTGGTCTGTTTTTCGAGTATTTATTTCTGTTTTTTCTGAGTAATTATTTCAGTTTTCTACGTAATCAATGAAACTCTGGATGACCCGCTGTTTGCTGCATCTGCCGCCGCTGGGAGGCCGTCACCAGTAGGCGCAGCACTGCCTCGCCTTCCTCGCGTTCCACCGCGAAGCCAATCGAAGCCACGAAGAATGACCGGGCGCGAACAAAGGAAGTGTGTGTCTTACAGGAAAGTGAGCCGCGAAGCTTGCCTTTTGTTTTGTTATTGTCTTCTGTTTACTCTAGCCGAGTTCAACATGGTGAGGTTTTATCGCCAGGAAGGTAGCTGATTGCTCAACAGGCTCGCACTCCACCCGTCCGCCTCTGTGACTTTATTTTTCACGCACTTTTCAACGTTTTAACTGCGCGTTAGCTTCCAGACGCTAACAACAGAGCTAACAGGCAGAAGATCGTGTGTCATTGTCCGTGCGACGCGTCGGATTCTGCTCCTGGTGCGCAGACAGCCGCGTGTTACACATCCACAGTCGCTTGGAAACACTAGATATGACTTGGGCAACCCGCCGCACCGCTGATCCACCCCACCGGCCCCGGTACCGCAGCATGCAACCGGTTCTGGACTCGTCCCCACCGACGACATGAGGTGAAGGAGACGGATCACCATTAGCCACCGCAGGGTTCTGCGCCCGGAGGCGCAGGAGGAGAGCGTTCACTCGCTGCCCAAGCAGCCGAGCGGAGCCTGGTGTGGCCCTGCCCGGAGCTCGTCATCACCGGGCTGTGTACCCCGCTCTGGCGGAACCTGGCCGGCTCCGGGTCCACGGAGGAACATGTCCGAGCAGGAGCTCGGGGTGGCGGACGGTCCTGGGCTACATTGACCCCAAGGCTTCTGGACTGGTGAGAGCAAACACAAGCGTTAATCGATAAAATGGAGACATTCCTGTGTTGTTTGTTTTGGTCTAAGAAGTTTTTCTCTGTTGAGTACTAAAAACTGAAGGATGTTGATGTAAGAATGTTATCTTATATCAGTTGTGCAACTATTTTGTCTTCTACTCTACTTTATCAGTTTCTACTACAGCATTTTATTATTTCTACCTGTTAATCTATTCTATTTTACTGTATTTGTATTTTTAAATGTACATATATCTATATGGTTATATTCTCTCTATTATGATCCAACACTCGCTCTGTGAAAGCACTTTGAACTTGAATCATCTCTTTTTT